TGAATTACTGGGAGAAGCGGTATGTGTATTAGGCCACTGTGCAATCATTTTCAAAAAGAAGATGTTATCTCAGAGGGAGGATAATATTTTCATTTACTTTTAATACTTTTTCCTAAAATCAACATAAATGTTTTTTCTTTGTAAGTTGACCCAAAACATACTTGACTTCAAATATTATTTAAAGATTTAAAAGGGAAATATGGTATAAATATTTTCTTAAAAACACTATAACTGAAGCAGTGGAATTAACCAGTTTCTTTTTGTTTCACTGTCTCAATTTTACAGGATTTTTTGTAGCAATTTTCATGGACTTCCAGACAGCATTTAAGTGAGGAGGTATAATCTTTCTTCCAGAATTCATTGCCACATTCGTGCACATGCATGCACACACACACACACACACACACAAAATCACCAATGTCTGGTAATCTAATCTCCAAAATTGAAATATTAAGATATCATGGGCTCCTAGCTATTTTATGAATCATACAAAAGAAAAATATTCTGAAAATTAAACTGTTTTGCACTTTAATAAAATGTGCTTCATTTTTAGAGTTGGAAATTTTTTTTTTAAAACATGCATCTCAGAATTAATGAAATGTGCTAATTCACTATATGGAGTTAAGTGCGTATCAAAGAATATCATTATCATTGAAGCAATCTATCTTTAAAATTCATTAAGTATCTGTTTCATTAAATAATCAGTAACATTTATTGAACATTCACTCTGTGGCAAGAATTTTTTTTTAAAATATGTCTAGAAGTAATTATTATAAAACTATGTAGGAATTTGGAAAAATTCTTGGCTTATGGATGCAAATATTGTTTGTGCACTAAGATTAAAACCATATAAATTATCTTTTTGTTTTGTTTATAGTTTCCAAACATTATATGGTATCATTTACCTGTGAAATCTAAAAAGAATAACACAAGTGAAATTGTTTACAAAATATAAACACACTCACAATATAGAAAACAAACTTACGATTACTGGGGGAAAGAGGAGAGGGATACATTTAAAGTTCAGGATTTGCAGATGCTAACTACTGTATATAAAATAGATAAACAACAAGGCCCTACTGTATAGCACAGGGAATTATATTCAACATCTTGTAATAACCTATATTGAAAAAGTGTGTGTGTGTGTGTATATATATATATGCATAATTTAATCACTATGCTGTACTCCAGAAACTAACACAACATTATAAATCAACAATACTTCAATGAAAACAAAACTATATAAGAAAACTGAGGTCAATGTACTGAAATTATAAGAGTTCTAGGTTCGAGTTATAAACTTATTTTTCTCAATTTCTCAAACTTTCCATAACAAGTCTACAATTGCTTTGATAGTTTCGAAGTGGCAACCAAATTTCAAATATTCAAATGCTGTGGAAATGTTTTGGTGGGTGATTATATATAGTACTAAGTTTACTATCAGAAGCTGCCTCTCTCCTTTGAACTAGACATTAAAAAAGGTTTGGGGCTAACTTGTATAATTAAATAAAAGAAGCATATTTCTCATTTGAGTTTTTCTCAGATGAAAGAGATCCTATTCTGTTGCTTTTAGACATTTCCTCTTTAAAAACACAAATAATAAAAGCAAATCATTAGAAAAAATCTCTGACTTGTTGAATGCCAACAATATCACTATAGCCAAACTTCTCTTTTGTAAATATGACCACTCACACCAAATTTACGCCTTTGTCAAGGTCCAAAAGATCTCACCTACTGGTCCCATCAGTCAATTAACCTTCTAAAAGGAAACATTAAATTGGTGAAAGTTTGACTTGCATATCCTGGCAGATCTAGTACAACTTCGGTGCTGTCCATCCACACACAAAAAAAGACAAAGTACACCCAACATGGTATCACCTCCTAATAATTCAGTTATTGATTCTATTTTAGGGGCCAATCTAAATGTAGAAGGAAACAACAAACATTGCTAATGCAATAGTTTCTCATATTTTCTCAGGACCTCTTTCTGTATTGACACTTGGTTCATGCCTATTACTTAAATACTTACACTGAGTTTGCTGTTCACCAGTATTAGTGATCAGATTGCAAAGTTGTAGTCAATATGATGTTAATTAAAGAATCTCAAAAAGAGACATTATACCAGAGTTCTGATAAACAATAGCTGGCACACTCAGATTAAGGTAATTTGAAGACGGTATATTTTAAAAGGGGCTGTTTACAAAGAGGTAACCAGGATGCAGAGAAGCCAGGATGCAGAACTCTAAGCTAGTAAGAAGAAAGGAGTTAAGATCTCTCGGTGACAAGAGAGTGGAAGACAAGGCCGTTTATGCAGACGGCATCTACATATTTCATGTACAGAAGGCAGCCTTGAAAAACACAGACCTGAGCAGATCCAGCCAGCTTGAGATGAACTTACAGAGAAGGATCCTGCGGAATGAACCCCTCGATCTCATTCTTCCTTTCTTATTGTCTCTTGCTGGGGCTTCCTGCTGGCCAAAAGGGGCCTAGAGCCCAGTGATCAAGGCATTGATATAGTAGGTCAGCCTCCAACACAGAGTGACACAGGGGGAGCAAATAAAGGATGTCCACCTGAACAGCTACATGGAACCCAGAGAATGAAGTAATAGAACTGGGGGTCCTTCTCGGTTAGTGCCTCTGACGCATCCCATACAGACTGGTTTGCAAGAATTAGCCCAATGCACATACCAAATAATTACAGAAGAGGCATAGATCATGCAGTCATCCAAGTTACTGAATTAGAGACAGAGAGACCTCCCAAATTAAGTGATTATCAATAAACCTTTATGGTTTCCCTGAATTGACACCATATCTAAATTTTTTAAATGTTACAGCTTTGGGAATTATTTAGGTTTTGCTGAGGTCTCCATGACAAACAACAGTCCTCTGAGTGAGCATCACATAAGCAATAAAATTCAAATTTTAAATCTGTGTGAGGGTCACACGCAAGACTTTTTGCTGGGAGAAAGCAACTTAAATCCACCATATTTTCTTAAAAAAGGTATTTCTCTTTATATAAAGTTACAACTAAACAGGAAGCAGAAAAGTTAATTAAACAGTAAATTATTCGGCCGACAAGTCACTGAGTAATCACTTTGGATTTGCCTAATCTCTTTCCTATGGCTGTAAGTTCTCCTCCATGGTTTCACTACATGTAGTCCACAGGTCATCCAGGACGTGGTGTCCCAGAGAAGTCTTAGAAGATCAGACCTTGGGTGAATACACTCAAATCAGGCTGCAAATACATGTGAGTTGGAGGAAGAAGTGAATCAAACAGTTGGAAGAAGTGAAAAATGAGAGCCTATTTAAGAAGGGCAAAAATGAGGACAGCAGGAAGGTAAGTGTAGAATAATTCGTAAATCTCTGTTCAGGTTCCTGAAACAGTTTCTTAGGGTTTTTCTATCTCCTCTTGCGTGCATTTACTGGGTACATTTAAAGGACCTGGAAGAGAATCTTATTTTCTTAGAAATAATTTAAGCAATGCTGGTTCTTTTATCAAGTGGTTACACCAAGGTCTTCACATGTATATGTATGTACATGTATGTATAACATACATATGGATAGATATGTCTAATTGTTTATACAAAGGGGTGATAGATACAAAGCACATATATCATGACTCATTTGGCATAGCTTTCTAAAATTATTATTTTAATGATTTGAAATGGTTTATAAAAGGCTATCCCATTGTGTTTTCCCATTTTTATTTTAGGAACAAAATATCTCATCAAACGCAATACTAACGTGGTTACAGCAATGCTGGAGGACTCTTCAACAGTTAAAGGTATTAATTCAATTCATTAGTAATTACTGACCAATAAACACCTTTTTAAGAGTTACGGGGCTATGGAAATACCACGTGAATTGTCCTGAGCCCTAGGGGCCACGGCCCTGATGAAGTGATGAGGCAAATACAGCTAACAGTAATTAAGATAAATTATGATATAAAATACATGGGAAGTGTTTGAAACTTGGTCATGGATTGAATAATACAGAGAAAGGAGTTATTGTGGTTAGTTATTTTGGTAACAGTAATTTAAGCAGTGCTTGAAGCAACATTTTCACACTCAGGTAGACAGTGGGAAGTGAAAGGGTGGCTAAAATGAACTCATTTAATTATTGAGCCCCTACCATTTTAGCTATTGTGCTCGGTACTGGAAATACACTGTACTGCAAAATAAAAATAGCCCCTTCTTTTGTTGAATTTACCATGAGTTGGCAAAGGACACTGACTGTTCTGCAGAGAAGTTTGAATGGGTAAAAGGGGCTAAGTGGGGGGAAAACTAAGATACTAGTGAGATGAAGGAGGCTTGTTTTGTTTTGATTTTAGTTGCATGAATTTTCTCCAGGATAAAAAACATAAAAAGCATGTTGGTTTTTTTGCCTGTGTGGAAGGAACCAGAAAAATGGAAAAATGCAAATCAAGGAGGAATAACGGATTTAAGAAAGTTGAGAAAGAAATGTAAAATGTTAGGATTAAAATCTAATGTGCTTACGAAGTTATTCTGGGAAACAGGAAATAGACTATGGACAGACACGGAGATATTTTAAGGTCTAAAGAAAAATTCAGTGATGCTCACATCAGAGAGCCTCATCTTTTCTAGAAAGCAAGAGGCTGTTTTATCTGAAACTGAGATAATCTGGGGAAGATTTGAGCCCCCAGAGAACTGAGATTTTGAAAAGGGCTGGAGCATCATAGGGCCCAGATGCCACTCAGGACCAGGCAGGGTCAGGCAGCCCGGAAATGCTGACCACCTGTGATATGTCGGCAAACATGCACGATCCTTACCTGCATGGAGCATTTGGTCTAGAAAAAGACACAGAAAATAATCAAGTAATTAAATAAATACTAACTTGCCAATTGGCAAGGTGAGTATGGCAGGAGAGAAAGAGGACAAGAGGTTTAGAGAGAACTGTCCAATTGGCGGACTTCGGATTCAGGAGGGCAAATAAAATTAAATGTGGTGCCCGATGGGCCAAAGTGACAGAGAAAGATCAAAGGAAGGTAAGTGTGGCTCAGCAGGAGTAGGGGAGTGGAAGAAGTAGTATATGCAGCTGTGCTCAGAAAGCAGGCTTTCAAATTTTACGAGAGGCAGAGCAGTTATGAGAGACAGTCACTCCCGGCGGAAACGCAATGCACATCCTTAGAGGAGAAATCAAGCCTTGTCACAGGTGCACACGCATACCCCACTCACCAGTGAGAGCTTGCCCGGGCCGAGCATCCAGCCATGAACCGTCTCAATCCACAGTCTACATCCTCCAGAGCGCCTTAAGCCACATACAAGACAACCTTTCTCAAAGCTGTTAATGTCGTACTCACATACATTCAGCGTGTCAGGTGGTCCGGCTTAATTGGCCCCGCTCTCCCTGGGTGATCTCGCAGCCTCGCAATACAGAGAACCATTTCTGGGAAAGAGATAAAGTTAAAACACAACGTTACATGTAAGGAAGTTAGAAAACAGCCCGAGCAAAATTATTTGAAATTAAAATCTACCTATTGGAGTAACCTACAGGGAACAATTTGTATTTCTGTATATTTCTCCAAATGTACATTCACTTTACAATACGTCCTGCTTGAGGCTTTTCCCAAAATAGAAAAGGCCTTTTAAAAAATGATAGTAATTATTATATTTGGTTCTGGATAAATATCTCACTTTTTCAAATTTTTCTTTCTACTGGACTGTTCAGCAGGATTTTCCATAAAGGAAAAAAATGGTGTGTCTACTGCTATTTTGCCCCCATTTTTCTTTTCGAACTCTATTTTAGTCAAATGAATTTATTTCTCCTCCCCTGAACACCTTCTGCGTTTTCACACATCTACGGTATTGCCCGTGCTATCTTATCTGCCTGCAATGTCATTATCCTTCTGTCCAATCCTATTTTCTGCCCAACAGACTTATAGTTATTCTTTACTAACCAGCTTAAATATGACCTTTTTCCCTCAGAAGCTGCCTTCCGAATTAATTGCTACCTCATCTATAGTCCCACAGACTACTGACTGTCATTCATTATGAGACTTATAACCAAGGTTCCTAATTCTGTTTCCCTGCCTTTGAGCTTTAAAGGCAGAGAGGATGTTTTATCTGTGAGAGCTTTTTGTTTTGTTTTGTTTTGGTTTGTGTTTTTGCTTTTCTCTTATTGTTCTTTTTCCTTTAATCACCATCTTCCCTGTGCACACAATGGACATTCAAATCTAATGAATAATTTCTCCTTACTCTATTTTGGTGTAAATCAGACACAGTCATGCTATAGTTAAGTCCTTACGTTATACCAATCTGATACATCTTTTCAAATAAAACTTCTTTTTTGTTAAACTTGGCTTCCAAAACATCATTCTCTCCAGTTTTCCATCTTCAAGTGATGACACTTTTTTAAGTCTCCTCTGAAATTGTTTTCTCATTTCCCCAGCCTTATAATAATGCAGTGCACCACGGCTCACATCTTGAACGTCTCCTGTTTTCTATTAGACTAACTCCCTTCCAGATCTAATGCAGCCGTATGATTTTAACTATCACCCTTACGTCTGGGATTGTCAAACTTCTATTTCAGGGCAGACCTCTGCACGGGCACCATCCTGCTTACCTGATAGACCCACGCTGAGTTCTAATAGCCAATTTGAAATGAGCATATCGGAAACTGTGCTTCCTGTCACCCCAGTTTGCTCTGCCTACAGTTTCTTCCCAGGTAATGGCAACTCCATCCTACCACTTTCTCATTCCCAAAACCTTGCCTCCACTTTTTCTCCCATACTCCATGTCAAGTGTATTAACAAATTTCGGTGGTGTTAACTTCACCGATCCAAAATATGTCAAAATGTGACCACTCTTCTCCACATCCACTTCTACAATGCTGGTCCGAGCCACTATGACCCCTGTTAAGGTTTTTTTTTTTTTTTGGACCCCCATTAAGTTTCATCGCAGCAGAGACCTACTTTACCCTAGCCCTTCCTTTTGTCTATCGTCAAAATAGCAGCTAGAATGAGTTCATGAAAAGTAAATCAGATTATGTCTTTTCTGTGCTCAAAAGCTTCCAGTAGCTTTATCTCGTTCTAATAAAAGCCAAACTCTCCAAAAAGGGCGGGTGAAATCCTACACGAGCCGGGCCCATGTTAGCTCTCAGATCTCTCTTCCTGTTCACTCTGCTCACACCACATGACCTCCCGGCTGTTGCTCAGAAATGCCAGGTGCATTTCACCCTCGGGCTTTGCCTCTGCTGCTCCCTCTCCCTGAAAAGCTCTTCTGTGGATCCAGGTGAACCTCTCGCACACCTCCCCTGGTTATTTACTGAGATGTGCCCCTTTTCTCAGCAGAGGCTTCCCTGGCTACCCTATCAAAAGTGGGGCACCCTCTGCCTGCCCTTCTCTATCCTTATTCTCTCCTTACTTTTCTTCAAAGCCCTTGTTCCACCTAGGATACTGTATCTTTCACGTATAGATTTTTAAAAGTCGTTATTCTCATTAAGCAAGCAGAGTAAATAACATGTGACAGTCAGTAGAAAATGTTATTTGAGTATCAAAATGTATTCAACAAGACGTGAACAACTTGAGTATACAACATAGTTGAGCCTTACTCCAATCCTGATACAATTATGTATTGTGTTACCACTTTACACACACAGTTCACTTTCAGTGATTTTCGGAGATCTGTCTTGGTTCATAAAGCTAATTTGTGGTGAACTCAGGACTAAAGTTGGATCTTTTGATTCTAAAGTAGGCTATTTTCTACCACAATAACTATTATTAACACCTAAAAATAGACAACTTATATTTGCCTGATTTACAGAACCAGAAGAAAATCATCTGGTATATATAAAATCTAGCAGCTTTGAGCACTTACTGTATAGAGAGCAGTACTCAAAGGGATTGCCTGTATTGTTCTGTCTAATTCTCAGATAACCCTGTGTGGTTGCAGCTGTAAGTATCCCTATCTAAACATGGAAACACAGGCATAGGGAGATTGGGTAATTTGTACAAGGACACACAACTAGTAAACGGTGAAACTGACTTAGGCACAATTGTGACAAAAAAAAATTTTTATTCAAAGTTATGTTTTTCTTTTTTTATCCAGTTTCATTGAGATATAATTGACATATAACACTGCATACATTTAAAGTGTATAACATAATGATTTGGTTTATGTATTTTTATACAGACACAATATACATGATTAACACAGTAAATTTAGTTAACATCCATCACCTCACATTGTGGCAATTTTTCCCTTCTGATGAGAACTTAAAATTTATTCTCTTCACGACTTTCAAATATACAATTACTGTGTTTTTAGCTACAGTTATCATGTTGTCATCCTCAGAATGTATCATTTGGAGCCAATACAGCAGAGTTCCCAAAAGCCAGTCACTTTGACACCTAACTGAAGAAGTTTAGTATCTGGAAGCCTCATAATAAGTTAAAAAAAAAAAGCAACAGACTAATTGATAAAATTCTTTAGGACCTGATTACTTATGGTATCTAGTTACTGGAGACAGACTAGTTACTATGTGTCCTCAGTCATTCACTCTTCATAATTGCCTCTGTGGATTGATTCATTGTAATGTTGGAGAGTAATAGCAGTAATTCACTCTGTGATTACCAAGAGCCAGTGAAACAATTATGACAAATATCAATCTAATTGGAAGTGCCACTGCTAGAGTCACTTAAAAAGATTCACTGGAGAATGTTCCATCAGGAGTGATGGTGCCTTATTAGCAGGGTGTGAAGATGAATGAGCAGACCCTGGGTCCTCCTCCAGTTCTGACAGTTTCTTTCTGATCAACAGCTATTCTGTCATGGAAAAGAAAAAACCTTAATCTCCCTCTGACCTTTCTTCATCTGGTTGAGAGCTCTACAATGATTCTGAATTGTCATAGAAATAAGTTTCAGAAGAAGGATGGGGAAGCCCTATAGCTAATTCACTCTGCATGATAACAAACTAAGGAATTGCTTTAGAATACGCTTATCCCACACCAAGTAGAGACTTGATTCAAGTCATTATCATTACAATAGAAATTACAGCAGCAGGTAGACTATGTTGAACGTGTTCATACTATTATTTTCATAATCTTATGGTAAGCATATTACATGATTTATTTTGATTTGGTGTTGTACAAATTGGTTTGGAAATGCCATTGGTTAGTTTGAGCCAGGTAAGGAATCTTAGGTCAATAAACATGATATTCCCCCCCCCCAAAATAATCTAAGCGAGGCAGACTTGAGAAAACTGAGGCACAAAGAAGATAAGGGATGGTACCAGATCAAATAATTAACATCACAGTTGAAGAACGTCCTCCTGGCCCTCCACCATTCTTCTCACCAGGCTACTCTGCCTCCCACTGCCCCTCAGTCTCTGTGTCTTGATCCTCAAATGGAGAGACTTATTTAAATGTATGAATTTCAAGCTCTTCTTCAACTAGAGAATGCTACAATATAATGATTCTTTCTTGCAAATAGATGCTCTTAGACACAACTGGGAACTGATAAAATTCCACAAGCCTACTGAAGGTGAGTGAGTGGGTGGCCACATAGGGTTGGGGCCAGTAGACAAAATACTATCCATATATGAAAGTGATAATCATATAATTCCACAGTGCTATATAAGCATGCTCATGATATAATATCACATGGAAGAAGGGCTTTTCAAAATAGCATATTTTCTGTAATTACATGCATGCTATATGTGTCCATGTACAAGGATGAGATGGAAAAACATAAAAAATTTTTTTCTCATGATTTATTGGGCATGATATAAGACTGAGTGACATCTTCATTTTGAACATTAATGTTTTTACAAACTTGTTTGTGATCTGAATTTTGAAAATGAGATTTAATTGTAAAAATGGCACAATGACACTTCTGAAATTCAGAGATGCTGTGGTTCTGGTGCTCACATAAATGTAGCCAAAAACTACCTCTTCAGTGCTTGTTAAAATGACTCTTAAGAACCACTTTCAAATTGCTGTATCTTCTTCAAGCAAACATAAATCCTAGCACATGCCAGTTGGTAATTAATTCTTAAATACTTAGTTTTTTTTTCCCATAGGGATCATCTTACTGTATGTAAGGAATGGATAGCCTTAAAAGTGAAAAATGTCCTTATTAGTCATTCACTCATCCATTCACTCAACATGCTGTAATTCAGTGCTCATTGTTTTAGGTACTATTTTAAAAGCCGAAGATGTAACAGAAAATAAGAAGCTAGTTTGTAGCTAGCTTTGGGCCTGTAACAGTCCAGAGTCTAAAGTTATCTCTATGAAAAGGGAAAGGGCTCAAGAAAGGATCTGAAACAAATTTATTCCCCTAGTCCTCACTGAAAATGCAGTAAAGTGGAGAAAGTTTACAGTCTTGTTCCTCTGGCAGCTCTCCGAGCAAACATTTACAGGAAAAAAAAAGTCTCAGAAAATAATTTTTG